TGAGTGAAGTTACCATATCTTGCACCAAAAGGCGAAATCACTCGTCCCCAGGGCCCCATCCCTTGGCCCGACAGGATTGATGGAGGAATGTAAATCATGGTAACTCAACGGCCCGTTAAGGTAGCGGACCCGGACCTGGTGCAGTTTACCATATCTAGTATTAAGGTAATGACTGAGACCGGCTTCTGTTACTCCCATCAAAACATCGTTAATAGAATAGAAACCCCCATTGTGTTATGGGTTGATTACATGGAATATATATAGAGAAATATTGCAAGGTAATAGAGTTTGACTAGGTAACTAAATCCTAACTAATTAATTAGGAGTTAAAAAATTTAACTAACATACCACGTGCATTGCATTCTTGACAAGCTTAACATCGTCAAGATCGAAAATCCGATGAACAAATCGCTTGGGAGAGTTTTCGACCCCTCTTTCGCCTTTGATGGGAGTTTTCGTGTCTTTGAGAAACAACATTGTTGCCAAAACCATTATTAAATCAATCAATGTGTAGTAAATAATAAAAAATCCTGTCCAAAAAGACAAGAATAGCCTTTTCATCACCACCAATATTCCAATATTGGTTTTTTGTTTCTTGGATGGCATAACCGGTAAATATTCGACTCCGGGGTTATTACTACTCCTCCTCATGGCAGCACAAGCCAGGACTAGGGAAATTAGAGACACGCCGTCGCCTATCGAATGGTCAAATATCTTGAAAACCGCGGTCGAATTTGCGTCCGATGTTTTCACATTTAGAACGTGGATTTCCCAAAGTGGCTTTGTGGGGTCCAGTGTTTGTCTCGATAGAGCCGACACGAATTTCTCCACGAATTCATCGGGCGATTCCATGTCCGGATCCAATTCCGGAGCAAATACGTGCTTTTCAATGTCTACTTTCGTTCGTTTCCACGAATACTTACCAAGCCTCTTATCCTTTTCAATCTTTAATAAATTCATACACGAAAAGAAAATAAATAAAAACTTCATTACTCAATACAAATTAAATTATATATATATGAAATTGAACAACGTGCTTACAAGGAGGCTGGAGAAACGAGGATGTTTAACGAGGGTTTGCACCAACTCATTCTTGAATAAATCGATATCGATTATGGTCATGTAACCCATGATTGCCTATATACAGATGCCGAAGCCCGGCGTCTGCATTAATCGGGCACCTGGGCTAGCGGGCTCTTCTTCGTCCACTGTCATCTTCTTTTTGTTGTTGTACTAAACTGAAACATGTATATATTCCATTTATAGTTAAGTTTGGAATGATAACAGAAAGTATCAATCGACGAGTTTGTAAGTACTTAACTTCTACTATTAGAGTAGAGGTCTAGGGTTTGAATCCTGCCCACTTCCCCTACTTTCCCAATTTGTAACAATGTGGTGGGCAGTGGCTTGGCTTTTCAAAAACTCGGTCCAAAAAATACAATCCGGTATATGCTAGTCGGGTACCCAAAAAGGATTGGGTAGTTCATTTTTTTCGTTTTTCTTTTTTTAATCCTACTTGATTGTGTAATATTACTGATAGAATTATTTCGTGCAAATTAATTATAAATTTGTGTCCGATAAATCCCAGATTCAGTTTTAGCTACTGTTCTACTGTTTTACGAAGAGTTGCAACAGTTAATGGAACAGTAATAAAAATACACAAATTTTAAAGTGGTTCGGATACAATTGTACCCTACATCCACGGGGACCTGCAAATGAAATTCACTAATTTTTAGTTTTACGAATACAGTAATAGGACTTAATCGAAAATGCAAAGACTCCCTCTTTGTCGACGCCGTTCTTGTATCCTACGCTGAATTGTCAATCTTCACTTTGCAGCACGTCCCTTTCCGCACGGTTGAAATTTCTTCAACGCTGAGTCCCTCAGACGGCGGATCGACCTCCTCCCGAGATCTTCTGAGTTCTTCTCCCGAAGAACCGATCTTCTTTTCGCGTGAAAGAAGCAAATCGTTTGCTGTGTTTTTCTTCTCGAATAAGATCACAACTCAGGTGCAGCAACGCAAGAGCAGAAAAAGTTTTTCTCTCAAATAAAAGGGACGACGTAAAATAACGTTGATGCTGCCCTTCTTATAGTTCCTTAGTTGAATTAGTAGAGCCCTACACAAAAAATAGAGCCCATTAGGTTAGATATAATCTTACGTAAGGAAAAAAGAGTTATGTAAACAAGGAAAGTCTTATTCAAAGAAATTCCTTGTTAACAAAACACTTAGGCAATTAAATAAATTAATGACAAAATAAGAGTTTAAAGAACTAAGGAAACTTCCCTAGTTTTTATACACGTTTTTCGCATTCGTGCTGAAAAACCGAAATAGAATCGAGCTGCTTGGAAATTAAATGGATCTCCCCCTTTGTCATCTATTTATTATAATCAAGTCCTCCCCCTTGATCACATACCTGACAAAACATTAGACTGCATAATAGAGTAACTGTT